TATCCAAACATTTCATTTTCCAAACCTTCAGGTTGGGATTACCACATTCTTACACATGTATTCCGAGAGAGAGAGAATTCATGATGAAGTCATCTCTCTTTTTAATTGGAAGTGCATCAGCTCAAGAGATTACTAATCCAGACTACAATCATATTATTGCTTTTTTTTTTTTTCCTGAATCAGGCCAGTGTTAATGGTACAGTATTTATCCAGGATGGGATTCTAAAATTACTAACAAACTTGTTGAAAATTTGAATACCTCCACACCAGCCTAAAAATGGACCTTAAGTTCCTAGAACCTCTGATGTTCTTTTAAATCGATGGAAAAAAAATTTGTGAACTGTATATAGAGAGTGCATTCATAAATGTGATGATGTATTTTATCACTAATCCAAGATGTCAATATTAGAGTCTATTTTGCTTATATTTTAAGCGATTATACTTTTTTGCAATTCACTGATGATGTATCATTTTCAAACTGCTTTAAATATCCATTAGAAACAAATATTTGAAGCTTTTACTTAATAGTAATTACCTTGAACTGTGCATTTCTAGTTTGTAATACATATTTATTTAGTTTGTGCCTTTAGTTTCTTAAAGTTATATTTGTATTATATTCAGGAAATGCACTTTTTATCACTTACAGCTGTGGTTTTAATACTGCCTTGAACTATTACTGTTCTCTTTACCACTTCCAAAGTTTTTGGGAGGAAAAAGAAAAAACCCCAAAGGTTAGCACTAACGAGTAGTAAATCTAAGAGAAACATTTCATCATTTCTAAATAAGAACGTGGAGATACTGAGTACATTGTTTCCTATTTAGCTGAATACAAAGAATGCCTTCGTTGACCTGTAGTTCTGAAGTTTAAATTAATGAAAGAACAATTTGTTCGCATTTCCTAATGAAAGTAAAAGCATTTTAAAGAGAAATATATGAATTTCTCATACCCAGAAGACAGATGGCTGACACTGCACAGCCACACACCATTCAAGTAAGTTAGAGTGAGAGCACAATAGTTGGGCTCTCTTGATGAAGAACATTCTGGGCTAGAGGCAGAGAATACTCTGTAGTTGTTTCTTTTTCCTAGTTAGGCCCATTTTATTTGTGCTTTTTTGTTTTGTTTTGTTTTAACTCTTGCACTACAGTCTAGAGATCCAAATAAGCTGAAAAGTTCACAGTTCAATAGACATTTAAATACATTTATTTTTAGTTGTCATTCTAATCATTATTGATTAGAAGCATGACTCCTGAAGGAAAGGGAAATAAAGCCCAATTCATCCTAATTTTTAGCAAAACACTCACCATATAAATAGGCATATGTTTTATTTTTAACCCAGAAAAATAATGTATAAAATAAGCGTGTCCTTTACTGTCAATTTATTTAGAAGATCTATAATATATAGACTATATATATAGTATAATATAATATATACAACATAGCCAAATGTATGAAAACTTGACAATGCATAATTTGGAATTCACGTGCTAACTACATAGAGAGGTATAAAATTAAATTATAATTTTCATAAGATTTTTCTTTTTCATCACTGTTGACACAGTTTCAAACATTCTACCATGCTGTTTCTACTCTTTTTTCTTTTCTTTCTTTTAAAATATATTTTTAACCAGACCAGGCCCCACTGTAATATCACCTAAGAGAGTCAGGGCAAAGTCTTTGCGTTTATGAAGGTATGTTCCTGTAAGGGCAATTGTAATGGAGTTCAGCGGTAATGGAAGCAACAGTACAGTAATCAAGTATTGAAAGAAACTTTTGGAGAGACTGGAGTGTATTGTAGCTTGTGGAAAAACAGAAGGCTACAGATTGGATACAACATTCTTGTTTTCTTGGAGAAACTCACATACAGGTAGCTGACCTGACTAGTACTTCAGATCTCAGACTGCTCTTCTGCAAAAACAAAACAAAAACAAAAAACCAAAAAAACCAAAAAAGCAAAACAAAACAAAAAAAAAACAGAAAACAACAAACAATAACAAAAAAGAATTCAACCACAAAATAGTGACTGTTATTTCAGTGTGTCCTTCATGTGAAAGCTATTAAGGACCAACTATACTACTGTGTGTAAGAAGAAATTACTTCCTAAACAGTAACTGAAAATAGTTAGAGTTCAACTTGCTGTGGATTTTGTCTTGGCAGTTGTCATCTTACATTATTTGTCAAAGGAAATGTGTTTGGCAGTTAAAAATCTTTCCTTAGATTTAGTGGTGGACTTTAACCTCTTAAATAAATGTTAGTATATCAGATTGTGTCCTTGAAAAATATTTCACTTGTATGAATCATGACAATGTCTAAATCTTTACTATTCTTCTGGCAAAAGCATCGGTAAGAGAGAAGGCGAAAAAGAGAAGTATAGCCTTTACGTCAGAAAAATATTCTTTTTAGCTGCTTACTTTCTCATGAAAAGTAAAGATGTTTACAGTGTATGCCAAGATTTTCAGTTTCTATATAACAACAGTTAGAGGTTCTAATCATACTGAAAATTGTGTTATAATGGCCTGAGCCATGTTGCTAGGAAACAATAGGTTCTGATTTTGTATTCCTGCTCTCACTCCTGTGCTGACAAGTGACTGGATACTGTACAGGTTCATGTTCTCTGGCTGCAGTTAAATGGTCTTTTGCATTTTGCTCTGGCTTTCAGGCCAGAAGCATGCATTTTTCTACAAGAGCATCACAACAACACGCTGTAAATATTTCAAGTTAAACATTATGTGTCGATATTTGAAAGAAAAAAGTACTTTGAATATTTCATTTTTAAAAAATAAAATTGCAAATGAACACTGTGTCCCATTTTATTCATGCGCCAAACTGCATTCTCAACTCAGTCTGGTCACCTGAGATATGAAAAGTGGCTCCCTAACAGGGAACAATAAAACCGCATCATCTTGAAAATGTAGGTGCAGAAATCAAAAAGGCATTAATCCTAAGCAGACGTCTCTTCATTTTTATTTTTCATACAAATAGGATCTCTGACACAAATGACCACTTAATAAAAAAAGAAGAGTAGCTGTTGCAAGTTTAAATGCCTCTAGGCTATGACTTTTAAAAAGGTTTCTCCTGTTGATGCCTTTTCCTCAGTGATAGAAAGAAAATAAAGAATTGCAAAACGGGTAGGGGAGAGCTAGGAGGGCAAGGCACCCAAATGCACTGCCGAAAAATCAATGGAGGGGAGAGGCAATCAGGAAAGACTAAAAAACAACAGTTCTTCCGAGGCCCTATGTCCTGGGCAATTACAATGGCCATTTGGCATTTATTTTTCACTAGAAGACATTTATGAGTGACACTGGGAAAGCTGGCCAACAGATCTTCTAAAATTCAGCTTGATAGTAATGGGGCACCTATAGTCCAAACAGCCTGTTACTGAAACTTGCCTGGAATCCTGAAATTTACACCACTCTAAAATGCTCTGTTCCCTTGTTATTCACTGATATATACGTAGAACAGTGAAAAGATTCATGGAGCAGAAGACAACTCTGATTGTTTCAACACAACCCATCAGCAAAAAGCAACGGGTGTGGGGGGTGGAATTTAGTATCACCTGGAGATTTTTTTTTTCAAAATATGCATTCCACCTTCAGAGTACAAAAAGAAAGAGGCAAGAGCTCCTACATTGAGAGAACTATCAAAGGAGATAAGAGATTTCTCCATATTCCTTCCCTATTCACCCTCACTTTTAGAGATCTTTGAATATCAATGCTATTTAAACACTTAGTAATATTACTACCTTAAATTTATATAATTCTAGTACCTCAATAATCCTGTGAAGTGAGCAAGCCTTAATTGTTCCTACTTGGCAAATGCGATAATAGTAACAGACTGACTTACCTAAGGTCACACGGATAATCAGTGACAAAACTGAAAAGAAAATTCAAGTCTCATGTTATGTTGATGGGCTCTCTCCAGTCAATCAGGTTTGTTATATCTTTCTACATAAAAATATTCATTTAAAATGCAAATGACCTAATGATGAAAATTCAGCCTTTTACTACAAGTTTGGCCAATGACCCCAAATTATGAAAGTGCCCAAACTGGATAGTTTAACTTCCCATCTAGCTGCAAACTGCAAAATAATGCTACCCCATTTACTGCAAGGGCAAACATAAGCGAGAAAGTTGAATTTATAGCCCACTAACAGGAAGACTAGGCATCTTGTAACCTTGAAATGCTCAAGGGCAAATCTGGGTTTTATTAGTAATAGACTTTGGATTCTGAACTCAATAAAGTGAATCAAATAAAACAAGGGCTGGTGTCTAAACATTATTAACAGATTTTAAGGCTGTTCCTCACATTTTTACTTCTCTATTCATTCTACCACAAATAATGTCTTAAATCAAGCCCTTTATTTATACCAGAAGACTTAATCAGAGGCATTCTCTGTAGACTTCTACCTCTGTGCCTACCACAAAGGTACCCTGCTTGTAACCGCCAAACCAACCATTACCTAAGCTTGTCTCCCTACTGACCTTATCTCTTAACAAATTTCAGAGAAAATGAACAACTATTTGATAAACCATCATGTTCCTTATGGGCTTGCTGACACTTTTTTTCTGAAGAAAGGTGTACACTTGGAAATATATGTGCATTTTTCTATCTTGACTCAGCATCTTACAGGTATATGTTAGCATGGCAATATTTTAGATATGGTAAGGATATGACCTTTCTGTAAAGGTGCAAGCTATTATGTACTGGGAAATGGCAAGGATGCTCATGCTGGGAAAGAAAAAGTGAAAAAAACTTGATGAATAAAAGGCCAGCAAAAGAAGACAGTGGGTAGGCACATCAACTGGAAAGTTTGATGGTAGCAAAATCAGAAAAGCACTTACCTTTTTCAGGAAATCAGTCCAATAAGGTAACATGGACTTCATCAATGCTTTATTTAGTATATGAATAGCACCTATTTTTGAATATATTTAAAAGGAATATTTTAAGACAAATTAAGTAAATAAAGCTTTCAAATACTTTATTAAAATATGAAAGACCATTAACGATTCAAAAAAGCTTTTTCAAAAAAGGCTTTGGTAAAGGAACATGCAAACATAATTCATATATTTAGGATTATTCCAGAATGAACAAATTAGAGAGAGTAAAAATTAGTTACACCTATTAAAATTTAAACCCAAGCTACAAATAATTAAATATTATCTAAACGTATGCATTTTACTTTGAAAGTCGGCTTTCTGAATTCCTTTACAAGTCAAAGTGATGCTTGTACTTCTAGAAATGGTAAACGGCCCACCAGACATTATTGTGGCCATACTGTACCTTTGTACTCCAATAGCATCCATGTTACACGCTCAGAAATCAGATCTTGCCAGCACTCGGAGAGTAGCTCTGTCTCTTGGCAGTTCACTAATGAACCAAGCTCACCACCACTCATATACAACCCAGAATTCTATTAGAATTCTGATTTATTACAATGAAACTTAGGCTTTTCCTATGGACCATAGACCAAAGTATTTGTATTGACTCCTTCTGCCTCTAAAGACAGATCTACATCACATTGGGACCCTCACTTACCATGTACTTATTACCTTTTATTGTTATTTTATTGTCTTTTATTGTTGCTTTTTTAATTGTCTTTTGTTATTGTTTTCTCGTGCAACTAGACAGTGAGCTGCCTGAGCGCAGGGACTAGGTGTTTTTACTTTTCTACCCCAGTGCCTATTGTGTTTGTTGAGTGAATGAATTCTAGGAGCCCTGAAGCAACTTGACATATAATCAAATCACAAGAGTCATGAAAATATAAACGCAAGAAGAAAATACAAATACCCATCACTGTGTAAAATCTCGGCTCTCACTTAGGTTGCAATCACTTGGAATTGTTAAGGATTAATGTAACCATAGGCTTTCCAATGGTCTTGTAGGGCTACCTAATAGGAAGACTGCTTGCAAGTCACTACTCATGAGCCACAGCTGCTAAAGCTTCCCTTCAAAATGAGGTTTTACATGGAGGAGCAACAACTGGGGCAGAGGTGAAAAAGAAGGAAAGGCCACTTCATCGGATTTGCAATATAATTTCAAATCCTGTAGCATCAAATATAATAAACATTTAGAGTTTATTTTAAATTATGGGATTTTTAAACTCCAGATTGGTCTGTGGATTTTACTGTCCAACATCAGAACACTAGGCAAGGAGGTTGCTTTCAGAATTAAACAGAAACTCTTCACTCTTTATCTAGTACTTGTTTTAGCACACAGTGCGCAGCTTCCTGAATCCCGAAAGAGCCTACAACACCATAGCTAGTGGAGGGCATAATACCAAATGCAGAACGTGACAAAGACGAGGGACACGAACCAGCTTCCCACCACGTAATCAAGCAAGACATTTTAAAATCAGTAGCTATTAAATAATATTTCACTAAAAATGGTGCTTTTGAGAAAAACTGAGGATTATTTTTATTTATATTTGGCAAGAATCGACATTAATCTTTTATAAAGTATCATTATGTTTTAAATCATTTCCCATTTGTAAATAACTGAAAATAACCTGTGGAATTATTTTTTCCCAATCCTCATTTCAAAGCTCCTCATTATCTATAAAGTCCATTTCAGCTTTAACATCATTCTAGATGCTTCCATTACAGGACTTTGATGGTTTTAGAAATACATTTGTAGCTCACTGAACTGTATTACCTACAATATATAAGACTTAGCATATATTTAAATTATTCAAAATAAAGTACAAGGTATTTTATTTTTCTTCATGGTGCTTTCAGGAAGACATTGGGATCTTCTCTTCTCCCTAAAGAAAAATAATAACAGAAATCAAGAAAAGATCAACTTACAAGCTATTAAAATTACAGGTTAACTCGAACTTATAAAATTCCCAACTGCATAAAGCTCACAAAGATACAACCCAATGATATAGTTCAAGCAACTAGTATTTAAAACTGAATTATAAAGAATGGAATATTGAGCAGAAAAGAACAATTAGCCAATTTGTAAACTGGAGTTCTATAGACATTTCTATTATAAAGGCTAACTATGCATTAATTTAATTCACCACCTGAGTCTAATTGTCAGTTTATGCCTGAGCGTGGGTCCCTGTCAAAAAAGGATATAACAACTCATTTTCTTTTATAATAGTTATTTATTGTTTCAATCGAGGCATATCCTCTTACTCCAGACAAATGATTAACCGCTTTCAATAGATGAGTAACAAATCACATATCTGATAGCTGCAGACATTGGCTACTATTCAGTCATTAGCTTGACACACACACTAAAATAGCTTTGCTCGGCAGATGTAACAATTTGTGCCTGTGGAATAATAAAGTCTACTAATTTAATTTCCTTTGCTACAATAAAATTTCACTAATTCAAGCTCTACAATTCGGAAATCAGGATCATGTAGGCCAGGCAAACATTAGCCTTTCCATCCCTGAAGGGAAAATATAGTTTACTAAGCAAAGGTAAAGGACAGCCCAGGTGTTCTCTGAATTGTCCCATCTTTCAAATTATTTGTGTCTGAATTAGTGAAGTGAATGGTACTTACATATTGACAAAAGGGACTGGGGAGAACAAGATGGGACGAGAGAGATTAAAATGGTGTGGGCTTATAGAATTTTTTATATTTTTGCAGAGTTTTATTAAAAGTTTATAGTACAGTGTATTGAAATCATAGCACGTGAAGAGTCCCCTCTCACTTGATTTGCTGTCTACATCTACTTTCTCATTGCATTTTTCTTACAGAACTTCCTATATGTTTATGAATAGGTTGACTCATAACCCTGAGCTTCCAAACTCTGTCAAAAATTAACAGGAAATCATACCTGTAGTACCTTGTGTACTTCTAGCTGAAGACTTCTCAACTGGATACTGCAGAGGTATTACAATGCCTTGATCTGGCTTCTGAAATGCTGAAATGAGATTTTTTATTTTCCGGAAAAATCTTTTATGTACCCCAGGTGCTGTCTGGAAAATAAAAGGCCAAGCAAATTATTCACGTACCTCATAATGATACAAAAAGGCCTATGAAATGTGTGAGGGATGCTTAGAGAGGTAACATTTGTGTAACTTGTTCAAATATTTGAAAACATAAGGAAGAAGGAAAAACAACATTCCAGAAGAGCTTACTCTGGTTGGCTGAATTTCCCTGCAAGAGGAGCTAATGAGCTGTCATTTCAGTTCTCCCAAGGGTAGTATTAGTTTGTACAAGCTCTTGCTCATCACCCTGCCCTTCCTGCCTGCTACCCATCATACGAACTGAACCTCTAAGGGTATACAGGCCATTACCCACAATAAATTCACCAACAGAGAGGATGCAGTTAAATACAAAAAAAACACAGATCCTACAGGTCATTAATAAAAAGACTGAAAAGCCAAAAAAAAACCCACCACCACCAACTCATCTTCCCTGTCATCATTTCACAACATAAAATGCTACACAGGAAATTAAAAATTGACTGTTATGATACACACAATGCATGGCTAGTTAGTCCTCATACTCTTTCACCTCACAATATGTCCTGCCTCATCCTTCATATTAAATTTTTTCCTCTTTGGGAAACTTCCCTATCCTCCCCCAAATTGCTCTCTCTGTCAACACTTCACTGTGACAAGGTTTTCTCTATGACACGAAGATGAAAGACTATATAGGGTCATCTTTATTTATTTATTTGTTTGTTTTTGAAGAGATCATTATTTGCAGGTGACTATTAAAATATATTCCTTTCCTGGCATCAATTCTCTTGCAAAGACACAGCTTGAAATCAACAATTTCCTGCAAAAGCTTATGAGCCAAGCTTTAGGCATCAGCCAAAAACTGTCATTTTACATGAAATAAAATAGTATTGCTATAAGCAATTGAACAATGACTAGTGTTTTTAGAAAGCTGTTTTTCAGCTATTCCATCTGGAAGATTTTTGAGGTGGGAGCTGTTAGCATTTAATGAGAAATCATGAAGGCTGGCGTGCAGACTTCTGTCAACTAGATTAAAAGCTGAAGATAGTAACTCTCAGTCATTTCCTACATTGGGGTAAGTAATTTTTCATTGAAAACACTGAAAATATTCTTTTTAGCTTTAAATTAGTGTCCACTCACAGGCTCACATGGCCAGGAGCCTCAGTAGATGTAGAATATTCTCCTACTCAGCTCTGTCCCTCTGGTCAAAACACCTTCCCAGCACTCTATTGAGACCTCATCCAAAATAACATGGCCATTCTTACAGGGGTCCAAACAGTTCTTTGGCTCCAAGATAGAATCCCCAAATTGCAAAGGCAGGTCATAGGTGCAAAATACCTCCTAATATCTTCCTTAGAGCACTTTTTCATTTTCAAAGCGCTTTCCCATCTCTTGCTCCCACTATTTCCTCACATATTGGCAGTTATTGGCTGGTTTGGTTATTCACATTTGACAGATAAGAAAATGGAAATACAAAGAGATAATTCAGCTTGCCCAAGGTAACACAGATAGCCAGAGGCAGAAGTGGCTCTAGATGCCAGGATCCAGTCTCTTGCCTTTCGGATTAGGACTAGACCAAACAGGTTCTAGAGAAGTTAGTGTCACCAACCAGAAGAGAAACTATATACTCCCCCAGTGTGGAAAGATTTCAAACCACACATCTTTTTAGCTGTTCTTGTGGCTTGTAAAACCATTTATCAAAAGAAGTGTCTTTTTTATGGGGACTTATATGCAGTTAACCCTTGATTATCCACGCTGAGAGGAATAATAGCACTGGATGTATGAAAATAATTTGAATTTGGGATGCAATGTTTCGTTGGCAAATGACTTACTTAATTTATAGTGCTTTGCTTAGGTCAATAAGTAAAATTATTTAACATCTACTGATCTACTGATGATCAAATATCCAGAAAAGCCCAAAGGCACTGAAGTTGTCAGGGGGAGGTTAGTACATTTTTTACAAGGTATTGCTGATAATGCACATATTAATAAATGATAAGTGATGTATGTAGAATTCTCTAAATAACAATTTAGCAAAATTTTAGCTTGTTACTTGAGATAAGTTAATACACCAGGCAATGATAAAACCTAAAAGTCTATCTAAAACTGGAAATTCACATAATATTTGTCTTTCATAATTCAGTGGATCCAGGGTTCAATTTAATTTCACTCTTTGAAACAAATCTCAGACTTACCTAGATTTCTAGGACAATCTTTGCACAGAGGATGGAGTGCTACTACCATGATTTTTCCTGCAGCGTGGCAAACTAAAGCATTGTTTCAAAAAGCAGTATAAATATCTGTCATTTATCCAATTTTGAAAATACATTTACCACAAGAATTGTGCCACTGACAACTCCCATCCTGTTGCTGAACTCAGCTATTGTTCAAATTTGCACAATTCCCATACTGTCATCTCTTAGTTATCCGTGGAAACATTTTTGGAACACAGCTGGTCTTCAACATGCTCTAGAGAAATTTCTTCCAGTCTGGTGACATGAGCTCTGAGAATACACACTAGCTTAATACTCACCTTAGCACAAACATAACTAAGAAGGCAAATTTAGTAGATAGAAAAAAATGCAATACACATTTCAAAAACAAGTCTAAAGAGTTTTTTCTTTAACTGTTTTCCCTTTGGAGAAAACATGCCAATCTTCTGCTCTCTTGGTGCAGATAATTACAATATTATTGTATAAACGGGGTCAGACCAGACAACAGGGTGAGAGAGCATTTATGTTCAACAAGCCTTCTCTTCCTTAACTTGATCACAAGCATGTAACAATCTGCATATGATGTTATACTTGAAACAAAAGAAAATGAGTTTAAAGATAAGGTTAGATAAACCCAGTTTTAGCTAAATTTAAGATCCTTTCCATAAAGAATATTCTTCAGCAGCTGAAGGCTACTTCTTTAGGGAGAAGGGCTATTTCTTGTCAAATTATGTACAAATATATATGCATATAACATAGACAACTATTCATAATAAATGAAATTTAATTTATTTGATCATCTCTGCAGTGATACAGAGAATTTTTTTAAATAAATAGGTATGAATAGTTTTGAATAGAAATGGTACTGCTTTTCCTCTAATTAGTATTGCAGTATTAATTATCCTGCTATAAAGCAACAATGTGTTTGAAAACTTGCCCTAATTCATCTCAGTAGTTCAAAACATTTGTAGTCTGCAATTTGTGCTTTCTAGTTAATTGATGAATTTGTAAAGGTTAGAGCTATTTTAATTTTTTAAGTCTAGACTTTAGAGTTTCTTAAATGCATAGATTGAGTTATTAATAGAGGTTGATATTAGCATTTATGTTTTCAAACAGCTCATAATGAAGTGCTTTCATTATAAAGACGGACTGTTTTAAAGAGTCAGAAATCAGAGAAAGCATTTGAGGCCAAAAGTTTCAGTTGTAGAGACCTCTACATTGGTAGTATGTGATATACTACCCTGGTACATGGAAATAGATTTACTCTACAGGCATTTCTTGCAATGGTACAGTGACTTTCAAATATTTTCAAAGCCAGTAGAACCCATTTTTCTAATGAAATCTTACTCAGAGACCCAGCTGATAAGCAAAATAAAAGGGAACTGCTCAGATTAAAGATTATTTGGGGACCCAAAAGCATACCCACTTATGTCCTCCTCTCCCTCTGTAACCCCCCAGGCAACCCCAAGGCACCCAGGTAGAAGAACTTTAGGATTTTGCAGAGCATAGCTTAAAAACCATTGCAATATTCCCTCTCTCTCTGTTCTACCTATCCATGTTCTTCCCACATGGCTCAGCCGGGCCTCCTGCCTCCACACATAGAGCAGCCCTGATTACCCTAATACTTGGAAAATCCTCCCTTCTTTGAACTCCTATGTTAGATAATGTAGCACTTGACTATAATCATATTGTTCAGCAATTTGGGTGAGTTCACATTCTTGAGGGCTTACTATATACCAGGTCCCGTGGCTAAGAGCTTTCTTTATATGCATCATCGCATTTAATCTTCAAAATGAGCCCTATGAGTAAGGGACTATTTTTAGGCTCATTTTACAAATCAAGAAACTGGTTCAAAGAAAAGTTAAGCAACCTGCCCAAGGTCTTAGACCTCTCAGGGAGGAAGGGGGACCAGACTTGGAACCCAGAGTTCCAGGCTCTGGTCGGCAAAGTACAGGCTCTCATACAGCTGTTTAATTCATACTGTATCTCCCCAAGTGTATTATAGGCTTTTAGAAACCAGGAGTCATGTTGTTTAATCCCCCAATAGCACCAACACTCACATTAATATCATTCAATAAATAATTGCTGATTTAATTATTTTACATATTTTTATATGCTTTCTTAAATTTCGCATAGCACTAAAATTTTGACACAATCCTTCAACTTTTTTCTTTCCCCCAAAGTGAGACCACTCCATACAACGGTGGTTGAACAGAACTGGGACCAAAATTCTCTAAAGGCTTCTTAATGATCCATGAACAATTTTGGATTGGAGCTTTAGAGATTTGAATCTGATGAATATTTTGAGAATGTAGGATTTGATGGCTCTTTTATAAAACCAGCCTAAATTTCAAACACCTCCCTGACACCCACAGAAGTAAAAATAAATAAAAGAGCTATACCTCAGCACTCCAAGAACCTGTTTCTGTCTGGGACACTCGGTATGTATAAATGTAACCTTGATACCTGTGAAAGAATAAACTTCCATTACTGAAAAATTCCAAAAGAACAATGGATGCTCTAAATTTGAGCTTAACTATTACATATAATGTTACATATACTGGGACACACGTATATGGCACCACTGCATTCATAGGAAGAAAAGCCTGGGGAATCTAACTTGCTTGCATATTATATCTGGCTAATTGCAGTTTCCAGTAAGCCTTCTTTATCTTTTCATTTTTTTTTTTAATGTGGGAGCTTACACTCCTAAGGATTTGTCTAGTTGAAAGACTGGACAGAAAGAAACTAGTGACCTATTGTAATTGGTAAAAATCATGAATTACTAAATAGATTTAACAGAGCGTAGTCTTATTATTTTTAAGTACATATCAAGCCTTGAGGTAAAAGCATTTCACTGGGATAAGGTACTATCAGGCCCACTTAAATTAATAGTAATAATAATATTAATTATAAATATAATACTATATTCCTATATTACTATTACTATGTTACTTTATAATATATTATACTATAATATAGTAGTAATAGCAATTTGAATTAAAAAAGAGTCCTGTTAAAGTACCTGAAAACAGCTTGTCCTTTTAGATAGGGTAAACATTTTCATTCATTACTCAGTGTGTATGCATATTGTATATCTGTATAGTTGATTTCTACTACACACCAAGAGTTTTACATGGTATATTAGTTTGCTCCAGCTGCCATAGCAAAATACCATAGATTGGGTGGCTTAGACAAAAGGAATTTATTTTCTCACAATTCTGAAGGTTGAAAGTCTAAGATCAAGGCGCCAGCAACATAGGTTTCATTCTGAGGCCTATTCTCTTGGCTTGTAGGTGGCCACCTTCTTGCTGTGTCCTCACATGACCTCTTCTTTGTGTGCGTGCACGGAGAGAGAGATGTCTTTTTTCTTCTTATTATTATAAGGCCACCAATCCTACTGGATTAGGGCCCCACCCTTATGACTTCATTTAACCTTAAATACATCCTAAAGGTCTATCTCCAAATGCAGACACATTTGCGGTTAGGCTTCAACATATGAATTTGGGGGGGACATGATTCAGTCCATAGCATTCCACCACTGGTGCCCCCAAATTCATATCCTTCTCACATGCAAAATACATTCATTCCATCTCAACAGCCCCAAAAGTCTTAACTCATTCCAGCATCAACTCTAAAATCTAAAGCCCAAAGTCTCATCTAAATATCATCTAATCAGATATGGGTGAGACTTGGGGTATGATTCATCCTCAGGCAAAATTCCTCTTCCAGCTGTGAACCTGTGAAACCAGACAAGTTATGTTCTTCCAAAATACAATGGTGGGGCAGGCATAGGATAGACATTCCCATTCCAAAAGGGAGATATTGGAAGGAAAAAAGAGGTGATAAGTCCCAACCAAGTTCAAAACCTCATAAGGCAAATTCCATTAGATCTTAATATTCAAGAATAATCTTCTTTGGATTGATGCTCTGGCCTCCAGGCCCACTGGGTGAGACTGTCACCCAACAGCTCTGTGAGGGTGGCCCCACCCACTTGGCTCTGTTGGGCATTGATCCTACCTTTGAAACCTAGTTGGAAGGAGCCTTGCCCCCTAGGCCTATGCACTCTGGGCCTGTGGTGGGAGTGACATCCCTGACGATCTCTGAATCACCTTCAAGGTCCTTCTTCCCTTTTCTTGAAAGATAAAGCATGTTTGCAGCCAAATTACTCTATTGTCCTGTCTTGTTCCCTTTGCTCCAAACTGACAGTGTCTCTGCTTTGGTCCAAACTCTATTCCCAGCTACTGCTGAGATGGCTAGTTAACGTCATGGGTAATCTCCTTAAGGAGTGATTGTCCAACCACACCCTTGGTGTTCTCTCCAGAACAAACTTCCTCATTTTTTGCCATAAGGGTAGGCTGAGAATTTTCCAAATCTTTAAGTTCTGGTTTCTTTTTGCTAAACAATTCTTTCTTCAATTCATCTCTCTCCCTTTGCATTTTACTATAAGCAGTCAAGAGGAAACAAGCTGCTCCTTCAACACTTCACTTCGAAATCTCTCCAGGTAAATATCCAATTAGCAAGTTCTACCTTCCACAAAACACTAGAGCACAGTTCAGCCAAATTCTTTGTCATTTATAACAAGGATGGCCTTTCCTCCAGCTTCCAGTAACATTTTCTTCATTTCCATCTGAGACCTCACCAGAATGACCTTTAATGTCCATAATTCTATTAACATTGTGTTCACGGCAATGCAGACTTTTTCTAGCATGCACCTCCAAACTCCTCTAGCCTCTACCCATTACGCAGTCCCAAAGCCACTTCCACATTTTTAGGTTTTTTATTACAGCAGTACCGTACTTCTTGGTACCAAAATCTGTATTAGTCTGCTCAGGCTGCCATAACAAAATACCACAGACTGGGTGACTTAAACAAAAGAAATTTATTTTCTCACAGTTCTGGAGGCTGGAAATCCAAGATCAAGGTGCCAGAAACATAGGTTTCTTTCTGAGGCCTCTTCTCTTGGCTTGTAGGTGGCCGCCTTCTTGCTGTGTGCTCACATGACCTCTTCTTTGTATGCATGCAGAGAGAGCGGGATCTCTCTCTTCTTCTATAAGGCCACCAATCCTATTGGAATATGGGTCTACCTTTATACCCTCATTTAACCTTAATTACCTCCTAAAGACCCTATTTCCAAATACAGCCACATTGGGAATTAGGGCTTCAACATATGAATTTGATGAAAACACTATTCAGTCCATAGCACATGCATTATCTCTTTTGGACCCCACAACACTTTTATGAGCTTTATATTGTGAAATTCATTTTATAGACGAGGAAACTGAGACTTTGAGAAGTTAGGTAACCAAAACCACACTAGAGATCAAGCAGCAAAGATAGGATTTGAATCAGGCCTATTTGACTCCAGAGCCTCGGCTCTTGATCTCCACACTGTAATGGATATAGATTACTTATTATATTTTAGTATATATGGTAATGCTACTTAATTTGCCTGACAAACTTTTACTTCATAGAAAAGTAAGGTTAACTTTATTCTGAATTATTTCAAATTACGAATCTGAATCCGGATCAACAGAGTTTTATTTAAGACATTTTCTGATTGTTATTCTTAAGCACAAGTTTGGGTCAATATAGATATTTGGTTAGAAAGCATGGTAAACTCTGGCAAAAATAAGTGTGCTTAAACTTAAAAGAATGGATGATTCTAAAGCATTCCAAACAGATGGTCATCCTTGAGTAATTGACCTCATTTACCATTTACCCTCTTTAGAACTAAAAGTCTTTAAATATGTGGATTAAATTACTATATCTTTAATCAATATCCATCAGTACTGATTACCTAAAGGACAAAAAAAACACATCTAAACACTCTAATCAGGTTCATTTGATTTGTGAAACCAAAACCAAATCAAAAAGAAGGTCAATTTAATTACCAGTGTGATTACAGGAAATGCTTCATTTTTATTATGAAGATTTGCCAGAATATTTAGATCATATATAAAATAGCTTGATATATGTGTATATAATATGCTAAATAAATATAAATATTACATTGTTAAGTCTTTTGTTTTGTTTTGTTTTTTGAGAGGAAGATCAGCCTTGAGCTAACATCCATGCCAATGTTTCTCTTTTTGCCGGGGAAGACTGGCCCTGGGCTAACATCTGTGCCAATCTTCCTCCACTTTATATGGGACGCTGCCACAGCATGGCCTGACAAGCAGTGCCTTGGTGCACGCCTGGGATCCGAACCGGGGCCGCCAGCAGCAGAGCGCGAGCACACTTAACCGCTACACCACAGGGCCAGCCCTGAGTCTTTTGTTTTTTTAAGCAATCAAAATCTATCTCAAAGCCCACTGATTTCACTAAGTACTTTATCAGAAACAAGGCAAGAGCTTTGATTCCCATTTTTCACCATAGGAACTTGAAACATAAGGCTTTAAATAATTTTCTTCAAGTCACACAGCAAAATGGAGATAGAAGCAGAGAAATAGCATAAACCTTTAGTTCCGTTTTCCCTCTGGGAAACAATCAATGGCAATAACTCGGTATCATTAAAGATGATGTAGAAACGCATTATTTAAAATCTCAGCAACAATGCAAGCAAAATCGTAAGCAACTGGTTTTCCACTTTCTAAAACAGTGGGTCTCTAAAAAACACAATGAGTCTGTCTCCCTACTATCATTCAGCCTCATTTAGTCAAAATAAATGAGTCTGTTTTGAAAATTGTTTCCTAACGAATCTGATCTTATCTCACTTTCAGTTAAGCAGCAGGAACCTGAGTACCACTTCAAAAGTCCTTACCTCCTTCAGTCTCTGAACAACCTGGTGTCAGTGGCACATAAAACTTCTCATGATTAACCCATCTAATATTAACAATTTCCTACTCCCCAACCCCTCAAATTTCTGAATGAGCAAAATCGTTTCACCCCTCAAATAAGCCAGCAGTTCATCTCTTCCACTTTCAAGTCACTGAAGTAACTGACCAAGGATCCCCTGTAGTCAACTCATATGTTGACTACATTATCATATGTCAGGGATGGAAGAGATCTAAAACAGTGCAACACAAATTACCGCTCCCAGGGTAATAACACCGGCATCACCTGCGAGCACGTTAGAACTGTAGAGTCTCAGGCCCCACCCCAGAAGTGCTGAATCAGAATCTGCATTTTAACAAGATTTCCAGGTGATTTGTAAGAACATTAAAGTTACAGAAGAACTGACTAAAACGCAAAGAGAATGCCCACACCTTAGTGGGAATATTGATGATCATTTCCCCAAAGTCAAACTTGCTTCTATCACTCACCCATGGTACTTCTGTGCCACTTCTCCCACAGTCACTTAGTCTATGCTTTGAGAATGCAATTTTATTTACATATAAGCTAAAGCTTTTTCAATTGTTTCAGTCTCCACAGAGCAGTGTTTCTGAACTATTTACTCCCTCTTCCCCAACAAGATTTCATAGTTTTGTTTTCTGTAGCTTGTAGTATGAAACAGTAATTTTATA